GGACAGACGAAGGTGCGATTCAAGCATTGCTTGCATGATTTAACAAGCTTATGGATGTTATAGGGCAAATATTATTTTTAGAAGAGATACATGCAATTCATAAGCCTTGAAATATAGATCCGTTTCCGTCGCAAATTCGAAAGACCCGGTTTAATGTAAGCATATATAATGAAACTGGGCAAATCCTAAATAAATCACCTAACGAGGGTATTTTTAAGCTAAAAAGAGGTACTCTCTTTCATTCACTTCAAAGTTTTATTCCAAGACTTTAACTTCTTAGACATTTTTATAGTATTTTACGACATGTACTTTACGTCCAGTTTTCTTACCGACCATTTTCATGCTTAGACAAGCTCTAAATATGCTCATAATCTAGGGTAAGATCAGACTATCGGAAGTGACATAAAGGCACGAGAACGGGACTATCCTTCAAATCATTGCTTCACTTAATGAAATGCGTGAAGATACCTTGCTCTGGTTGTGCATGCGTTGTCGGTATTTACGACCTCTTCTTACCCAGCACCTGTTCCTTCATTACTCCGATTTAAGACGTAATAGTGCCTGGGATCCCGCAAAGTTACACTAATTCTTGACGTGGTATGCTTCAAAAAACCCAAAAATTACACTTTTGGGAGTGGAGGGAAGTCTTTTCTAAAACCTCTACCATGCTTTAAAACGTCAGAGTCCTTATCATCACATCGTTAGACTAGAGGAGTATTAATGTGTTGATTCTGTTGTTAGCATCAGCGCAAAGTTTGTCATGATTCAAATTTTGACTCTGTATTGCCTTTCTGCCTCAGAAGGGAACTCGAAACGGGTGATTATCAGAAGAGTACATCAAGTCCATCCTGTCCAAATTCCACCTCTCTAAGTAATCTTCACAGTTCAATCTGAGCTTCGACTGTTAAAAGTTCATCATAGATATTCCTTTTATCAATTTATTTTGGATTGAGTGAATATAATATAGACTAGAAGCACCCCATTTCGTCGGAAGAGGAGGTGAGCCAAATTGTGACGGTGGTTAGAGGTTAAGATGATTTCGTACTGCTAACACTGAGGTCCTCGAAGCACAGAAGGATGGGAGGAATAGTCGGAGTGTCGACTTCCCCTTAGAAGATTTTTATTAACGGCCACTTTAATTGCTTATCCGTAAGGTAAATGTCAAAAGGATAAGGTTCTAGTGATTCAAATGAATTGAAGTTTCCTTTATTAAGATGACATGCTGAATTAAGTAAATTTAGAACATATTTCCACCTTCTTGCCTGATGGTGCATGCCTTGATCCATGCACTTCGTTCCGGCTGTGGGAACAATAGCAGGCGATGGAAATGGAGCAATTGATTCGGTGATAATGAGTCCAGAGATTCGGTTTTAGTTAACAGCAGCACTGGTCAAATAAAATGGATTACGAAGGGAGGATAATGCATATGAAAGGTCTGTAACTGAATACTGGGCTGCATTTTGCAGTATATGGCGTAAAATACCCATATCTGGTATGCTATAGCTCCCTTTATATGACACAACTTGCTGATGCAGAAAAATGCCAGCTTGAGCTTGTTTATACGAAAAAGCAGTAAAGCACTTATGAAACATCTTAGCCTAGTGGAAACGCAATTCGCCGTGATCTTGCATCAAGCTAATGTGATGCAGGGGCAGGCATCCGTGGCAGGTATCTGTAACATTTGACAGTTGCGTATGAAATAAGAAAGAAAAAGGAGTATATATGACAGATCTTCATCAATCACTTAAGATTGACGTTCTACTTCGGCAAAAAACATTTTATCATCCCACTGAGTATCATTCATAGCCGCACTAAAAATATAATCCTTCTGCAAAATTTTGAGGGGATCAGAGTTGTAGAGAATCCGACAAGCAGTGACTTTATGAAAGGTATATAAGGTTCGAGATTTTATTCTTGGAATAATGTTAAAAAGGCTATCAGAGTAGGCCAGAAAAGTGATATCATTTAAAAATAGTAGCAGCTTTTTCTTAAAGAATTTCCAATGAAGTTAGAAATTCAGCACATCTTGAGATCGTTGCATTTATGACCTACAAATTCCCAAGACCTAGTTAACAATATTTAAAAATTGTTAGCCTCTCATCTATAAATGAAGTGGTAAATAAAGCAAAGAAATTTCTTCTTTGATAACATTAGAGACATTAGAGGAGGAATGCTTCTATCTTCACCTAGACACCGCAGAGACATGTTTTCTTATTCGCTATGACTCAAACAGGAACCAGGAGAGTTGATAATTGTAAAGATGCCATGAATTTGTAGCTGCCTTCTTGATTTGAGAGCAGGGGAACGTGGTAGACTTCGTTACATCTGACGAGGCTAAACATGACAAAATTTAACATCCTTTTTAAGGTACTGTAAAAATTTGATGTGTGGGTTAAGTATCAATGTTCACTAACTTAACCTTACCAAACTCTGAAGTAGATTTGCCCAATTGGCCCACCACCTTATTTTATCTTTACTTACGAGGCTAACTATGGCATTTGGTAGACCTGGGATTTAAAAGTGGAGGAGTTGGGAGGTTGCTCTTTCCTCTTACACAAATAGGTTATTATTAATATTAAGCCCTCCGCTACACTGAACCTCCACCACCACTCCCTCTGTCTGGTCCATCTCACTGAATTGCCACTGTCGGTTCACAATGCTCGACATCTAGTGAAACCCCAAATCTGCAGCTGCAGTATTTTTAAAAACCAAAATTTTGCAAATTTTTTGTCCTTTTTAACTTTGTTTTGAACGCCAGTTTAAGAATTTTTGATTTCCTTTTTCTTAAGGAAATGGCTTAAAACCAGCCGAACTTACGGAGTGATCTTCATTGGGCTTTTAGGAAGTCATCCTGTTCTTGCAGACGATGGGAGTGAGAAGGCTATGCGGTTGGGTCAAGTCCATACAAGAACGTTCTTGTTAAGCATGCACACATCTCAGAGGAGACGTGAAGAGAATGTGTAACCACCATAGGGTGACCTACTTCATACCGTATGCCACACTCAGTTGACTAAATGTGACGAAGCTTTCACGCGACACTTATCATGGGGTTACTACTACCGGTTTCGTGTCTAATATGCCACTAAAAGAGCAAACTAAATCAAATATATTGTAAGAATCGAATATCATCTTCTTTGAATCCCGCCACTAGGCACAAATTTAGACTTTGCAAAGTGACTTTCTGTCTGCCTGTTCCCACATCCATACATCCCAATTTCATAAATTCCATTTGTTTATAAAATTAATATGTTTTGCGAATTAGCGACTATGTCAAACATCTTTTATCAAGAAAGAATTTTCTCAAGCAATAAATGACTATCGCTGCAAAGCCCAATTTGATCCATTCACTTGATCATGCGGTAAATTACAAAACTTGACACACCAAATATCCCAACACGCAATAATCCCCACTGTTCCATGTAGATTGCTGCAGAATGTTGAGCAGCGTAGACGCGGTTTCTTGTCTTTTAAAGGCCACACATTAATTTGGACTAGTATTCATTCCATACAACTCGCTTCAATTCGGTAAACAATTAGTGAACGCATTCCTTCACTTGCTCTTGATCCTAATTATCTATCCATTTACCCAAGGACCTATTAACCCTACCATTTCACCCTTGATCCATGTAGTAAAAGATACTGTACGCCAGGCCAAATACAATATCCGTGAACAAGAATGAACGCTTTTACCCGCAAAAATTCTGCTTTGAAAGAGCTCTTGCTAATGGACAATTTTGGCTCGTTCGTTACGCATCACCCTTTTGAGCGTCCAGTTAGAGTAATATGCTTCGTGCCCTCTTCATGCATCCGGGAGCATTTGTCTTAGCAATACAGATGGGTTGTTTTCCCTCTTATTAGTGCCTCATCTAATTAAGTGGACTTTAAATGGTCCGAATTATTGGCATCTCTTTCGAGCGCTTTATGCAGTGGATACACTACTCCACTATATTGGACACTATGTTTGTGAACTCCTTACACTTAGGGAGGCTGACATTCCCACTGCATGTTAAATCAGTATCAAAAGGGTTCTGCTTCTACGTTTGAAGCAAAAAGCAAAACACTTACGTACCCTTTGGGTGTGTTTGAGAGTGAATAATGGATGTGCAAATCATGTAAAATATTCATAATCCAGTATTTACTCAAATTAAGTCAAAACATCATGTTTGAGGTCTGAGATTGGCATATGAATGCAGCATTGAAGTGTGATTTGAGAAATTTCTAAATGCGGTTGTTTGTGTAAAGTATGAAGTCACGCTTTTATTTTGTTGCCGTCATCTGCAATGCAGATTAGACCGGTCACTCACTGGAGCATACGAGAGTACATTTCTCACGGCCAAGCCCTATAGAGTCCTGATAGGTCTGCGACAATGTTTTGTAGCCATGACTCATTGTCCTCGCCCGAGGGACCCTGCTTTTGTCACCCACACAGTTAGATGGCTAAAAAATCTTTCATCTGTCAATAGACGGCTGCTCAAGGGACGGAATACATCATCCACACTACAAAGTTTATACTCAGGGAGGTGAGCTGTCAATTCTACAAGCGCAACCTCTTTTTTAAAACGATTTCTTTAAGTCGAATAATGCTAATTATTTGCGATTGGCAAATACACTTTGCACTGTTTATCGTTGCTTTCTGCATCATGAAACCATCAGCTTTCTTAGCTGCGATTTAAATTAACAAGCCGATCAGTCATGCTAGCGAAGTACTACTGCAGTACCTCTGTCTCTCCAGAAGTCGAAATATCGTAGTAACAGTACTTGGCATCTATCGCCGGTATACAGGAGGACTAAGTGGCTACGAGTGGGATTCGGATACCATGCCGGCTAGCAGAAGTATAATAAAGAACCCTTGAGTGCCCGCGAAGTCGGTTTGATGATTTAGACATACATTTGAGGGTATCTCTTATTCGAATGAAGCTAAATTTTCAGTTAACTGGAAAACTGATTTTGAGTTTGAACCCCATGTACATTCAGCCTTCCTGCAGCGCCTTTAGCGCCTTTCATATTCCTAATTTCGTGGAGTGGTTTTGCGGTTTAAATTCACACCTGGTGCCTGTGTCTGCAGCCTGTCCAAAGTCTGGTTCGTTCTGCTTTTTCAGAGAAGTAGTTAGGTCACGTTTAAACATGTCGGTCCACGCATAGGCGAGGACGACGACTCTAGAGGTGAGAGAAGGCTCCATCTCCGTGCTGAGCTTTTGTGCTAGCTAAAGTGCATATGTATTACTGCCGCATCACGGGACAAAACGGCACTAGTCAATGATTTTTTTCCAATTTCTTTAATCTTCCGAGTTTAATGGGCACTTACTGCTAAGTTAATTTAAATCCTTCCAAATTGTATTTAATTATTCGTGCAAATGTCTCCTTTGCCAGTGGATATTGCAAATTAATGCAGCGAAATGGGCTCGAAAGTGCTGTACCATGTTTCACTCCCATCCTCTTTCGAATAATAGAAAATATCTTAGTCCAACCAATTCGGCTAACTTGTGAGCAGAAGGCAAGGTATTCAACCAATCTTCAAGGAGAGCAATATCGAATTTGAAAGCTGCCTTTGCCCATCTGCCTCAGAAATGGATAATTTTAATTTAGTCAGCATTAGTACTTAACCCATTCACCAATTCCTCTTTATACTTTAAAGGCCTTGCACTGGCTGCGCTGTCAAGTAAGGAGCAGAGCTAAACATGAATGACGTTTTAATTATCTGCTCTTTTGGTTCCTGCGGACTGTTTGAGGGAGCGCGGGATTGCTTAATTTATAGCAAACAAGGAATTAATGTACTTGAAATATCTAGATAGGGAGGGTGGCATTTCTTACCTAAGCCTTTCTTAAGGCATAGTCATATGAATATAGATGGGCATTAGGAGTCTACTTTAAAAACACCTAATTACCATAATCCAATAGAAAATTTTCCAACTTTTTCACCTTTTCTTTTGCATGCAATTATCTAATGCCAAAAATGTGATTTTCACCTACGGAAACGTTATCTGGGGAATAGAGAGTAGGCAGAGGAGGCAGTACCTCCTTATCCTTCTTCCTTTGCTGTAAAAGGAATTTCCTTTAAGGCCAAGAATGAGAGATTGCGTGTAAAGAGGACTCTCTTCCTGGTGTATAAGTAAATCCTACTGCTCCTCAAAAATGACTTACTGCGCAGCAATATTAAGCCATCCTTTTTGCATCCCCATCTCACCCACTTAATCATGCAGCATTGGCTTAAAAGTGATTACAAGCAGACAATGGCAGGATCGATTACACACCATCACACCTCAGTAACCACTTCGCGGCACTTTTTGTCAGTTGCAAATAATCCACCAAGCCCATCCCATCTTACGGAGATGTTGAATGAGAAGAGAACCAAATGCCGATTGTCATCTGCTGATGCATAGAAAATGAAAAGCATTTGTGAGGCACAAAAAATAAAAATCAAAAACTGCACAGATTATAAACCAGGTAAAAGGTAGTTTATAAATCAAGAATGCTCAGAATCATCGACCAAGTTAACATAAATCTGTACATTGAGGCAATTCCATGTAAGGAATGCTGGGTAGATGGAAAGGGGATTAGCAATTAAGAGGAAAGCTTATATTCAATGCACTGACCCTTTCAAATAGTACATGGCCAGCGATGATTAAGTGACGGGGGCTTAGCACACCCATACACATAAGTAGCAGCCTTAGTTATCTAAGATTCGTAAAGAACATAGAGTCATTTGGGTACTACCCATTAGAAATTGAGTTAGCTTTCTGACCACTAAAGGCCTGCAAATCCTCTGGGACATTTTTATACTCATGTGGCGGTTATGATACGCAAAGCGACGTTCCATCAAAGCGATACCATCAACAATTTTAATTAACTTTTCACATTCCGATTTTTAAATGGTATAAAACTACTACTTTCGGGAGGACTAAAGGAGAAAACCAACACCGAAACCAAAGTATTATGTATCCTTAGTAATAAAGTTACCGTTTCAACAATCACCTCAATTCTTTTGTTGTCTCATGAATTTACCAAATTGGCTTCCATTAACTAAAAAATTGTGCGTGTACTCAATTCCTTTTATTTACATGGACCCGCATTTTCTGCAATTTGAATAGTTATCTTGATCTCGTAGCGTGCTCCTAAAGCTACTTCCTCTAATAGTCTATCAGCCCGTCTGTGCATTTTTTGCTAGTTTTGTGTAGACCTGTCATTTTATGAAGCCATGCAAAGCGGAGAGGAAACGCAAGTCAAGCTGGTGGTGTTGATGGAGGTAGTATACCTACCAGATCAAATCTAGTGGTTATCTAGATTTATTTGCCTGTACAAAAAGTCAATTATCACCTGTCTTGGATAAATGGTCTATTAAAGCCGTGCCAACTTTTGAATATAATCAGATTTACACAATTTGCAGATGAGCAGCTAACGGAAAAAAATTAAGACAGGGGTCATTTTAAAGCCTTTATTTGTGAGGCTGTGCCGCTTCTACATTCTTAGTAAATCTACGTAAACGTGAATGTCAATTGTTTAGGAATGGTTATGGGAATAACTTAACACAAGGAAATGTTTGTAGAAGCTACTCTGAGGCATCTACTTTTAAAATTGGTTGTTAATAAATAACGAATAGTGTTCAGTGAATAATGATGGTGCCGATCAGAAGAGAAATAGGTAAAGTGATTGTCGGATGGAGAGTGAATAAATGGATAAGTGGGTACGAGATAAATGCGCTCGTGTAGAGCGCCGGCCCTTTCAGTCAGTACAACGTTATCCAGACTATGCGCAGCGGCTGGCCTAACTAAAGTAATTGCACTTTAGCTGGAATTACCAAGATATGCCCTTGAATTTCGCAATCTAAAATTCTTCCGTTTTTAAGGAGGCTTATGATAAAATTTGCCTCGCTAAATCAAAATATGATATGACTTTTGCGCCTCCTGTTTAAAAATGCACTATACTGCTTAGATAGAAAATCATACAACCCATCTCGCAGTTTCTGGTGGTGTCTTCTGGGTTCGTTAGGGAGTAAAAGGATTACAACTGATAAAAGATATTTATTTTTTGGTAGTTTTCTAAAACACTATCAACTTTTTGTTTTTGAGATTTGAGAATGGCTAATAAACGCTACACTGACATGCATTTTATAACCCTTGCTTAACTATCCATATGTTTTGACTTAATATATTTGATGCATTTTAAGTGCTGGGTGAATGGTATCTCTTCGCTACATAAATGTCGGCTTTTGTCAGGCAAATTAGGTTAATCGTAAAATGGAGATGGTTATGGGTGCAATTTTCACAATTAGATTTTATAAAACGGTTCATGCCTGCCTTATTATCCTGTCCTGAGAGGCTACGGGCAGTGCTTGCAGTCCATGCTGACTAGTGGAAGTACAATGATGGAGCCATGAGTGCACGCGTAAAAAGATCTCCGTTTTAGATGAACAAATAAAATATTACACTTTCCGATGAAAGAGGATTTACATTTAGCATTTGGAATTTCTATTTGATTTTGAGTATGAACTTGCGTGCAATTTCATGCTTTCTGCAGCACGTCCAACACCTTTCAAACCCCTGGTTTTAGTGGAGCAGTTCCGCTCTATGGAGGGACGAGTGGGAGAGATTCTGTGCTTGTCGGCTTGTACTTAGATTACTGACACACCATGAAATGGAACTACGTCACTTACTGAACTTTTGCTTTTTTGCTGAACCTTTCGTGTACCATGAGTACCTGTTGCTAAACGAATTTATAACCTTCTTAATTATTCCAAGTCTTTTTATAATTGTTCCCTTTACTAGCCAGAATTTCAAGGCAAAGCCAATATAAATTTCTATTTGCACGAAACTTAACTTCCTGTAAAAAAGGTTTTGCTATTCACATGTACTTCAAGGGGAGCATCCTAAAGTTAAATGTTCTTTTTCATTAGAATTATAAATTTGATATCTTTGCAATGATTAAAGAAATATGCCAGCTGTCTTAAACAAAGCAATTTCACGTGACAGTCTATTTGCTCTGATATAATAAGAGGTGCTTTAAAAGGTGTCACATGCAGCAAAAATAATTTGTGGTCGTAACGTGCTCACTTGAGGCACTGTAGCATTGCCATCGCGAATGAAGGGATAAAGCAACAGCCTACTGCGAGCTTAGAGCTCGCTTAGGAGTATAATTGTGACAAATGAAAATTAACTTAAGCACATCTGATTTTGACCTTTCGGTCTTAGAAAAAGAACTTGTCCAAACGCGTGACTAATCGTGCCCACTCACTATCGGCCAACGATAGCATCACATATCGCTCCTAACACTGTCACTTAAAAGGGGAATGAAACATCTGCACTTCGCGATTAGAACAGAATGTGCTTGGAAATAGAGGTCAATGCGTACGAAACATGCAAACCTTGACGGCATCTATTGTGCTGGTACCAACCATTCACCACGGCATCTAGCTCAGTGAACTTTAAATCTGGACGTCAAACGCCAAGTTCCAAATAGACGCTTACCTCTGCGAATTTAGACATGAGCCAAAACACTCCGTGCAATTAAGAGAGGCAGATTTCACAGTAATATACACCACCCTGAGAAATTTGCACACTTTAAATGCCAGGACGACTGATGTTGGTCGGCACGGCTAATGGGCGTTACTACGTAAGAGCAGATCCTAACCACCCAAGTTGCAAGAATAAATATCCCTAAATATCCGTACACATTTTACTTAGCATCTAAGGAAATCACCAAGGGGTGAAAACATGTAGATTCTCCTTCAATGATGATGTGGAGCCAGTTACATAAGAACGCTGCAGTCCTTCTGAAAACCTTCTCTCACGCTATTTTTCCAGATAGCAATTAAGATCTACTGCTAACTTTCCCCGTCAAATGTTACCTTCCCCATATTTAGAACAAAATACCCAAATTTGGTCGTTTGGCGTAAACCATCTGCGAAATGTTTGGGTTCTTGCAGGACACGAGGCCTTTCTTTGAGTGCACTTTTTACTAACCAGTACGTATGACTGCTTTGGATTTCGTGATGTTTAGATGAAGCAGGCGTACCAGAATATGTTTTCTGGTAAAGTCAGATTAGGATCTTGCTTTTGATGACTCCGGCTAATGTTAAGGTCAACCTGTTCCACCCTGTTCACAGCCGGGTTGCTTATTGCTACACAGGCTGTGCCTAACAAAGGCATATTTTTAAACTATGAATGCTATGCGTAAATTTTAGCCTGGTACCTCTGTTTAAAGGACTAATAATAGTGGTAGAACAATTTCATTAACTAACTGCAAAAACGTTTCGCCTTCTCATTTCATGCTAATGTTTTCGGTCCGTGATTAGATGAAAAATGACAGGCAGTGTGCTAATTGGGAGCTATGTGAGGAAAAGACGCAGGAAATTGAAAATTTATAAATTAGTGACCATAGAATTGACACAAAAGCAATATTTAACTAAAAAATTCAGTAAGACTTCTACATTTGAATGAACTTAAACAATGGGTAATTAATGTGCTAGAATTTAACTAATAAAATTGTCCTTCAGGTTATATTCCTTCAAAAGGTGAACAAACTGGTCAAGATATCCCCTATTTGCGTGACACCTAGGCCATTGGCGATTTCAGGTGTTTAACTGTAAATAAACAAAGTCCCTCATCTCCTGTTTGCTTTTAATCTGCTCTAATGAATTTAAAGTTAGTAATAACGCAGTATTTGAGAATGCAAACCCAAGAATAGGCTATGCCAAACACTGAATTAACTACCAAATTTAAGGCTTTTTATTAATTGAATTCGTCAATTTCACATCTATGCTGAGTTGTTACATACCCTAACATTATGCCAAAATGGTGCTCTTTGACACCACATCCGGTCTTCCTATATAATCCGAAAACTGGAATACATGGCAGCACGGGTTGGTAAGAGAAGTCCTCTGACACCATTCTTGATTTTTCCAGGATAGCGTTTGTTCTAAAACCCGAAGATGGTTTGAGAGACATAAAATAGCAACGGTTGCGCCGGTGAATACATATGAGAGCTTAAGGAGTATGACGGGGACAAACTCTCCACAAACAGGTGTAAGTGCCGATAATTTAACGCCTATTTAATTTTAAATAATTTTAAGCTCTTCAATTCTTAAATTACTGCCACTGATGTCTGCAACTTCTACACAATAATAATAGGCTTATTAAATTTCCAGTGGATAACCTTTCCCTGTATCTTTAATCGGCTTTTCTAATTAAATCCCATTCAAACAAATTCGTAGGCAGAAGAAGATTTTTACCAAATGGAACTCGGCTAGCTAAATGTCGTTCAATGATATTTTAGGACATCCTGCTATCTCTGTACAGAACTGATGATACTACGCAGTTGCCGGTTAAAATAACGCAGTATCAAGGCTGATAGAACAATTCTTGGTCATAATTACCATGGATGCATTGAACGGGCGTTCGCCTGTGTAATCACGAACACTATCGAGACTGAAAGGGTGTAGTCACAAGATGGGCCTCCTAGAAAAGGAGGTCTACAATGGTGACAACGTGAGTGTCCAAGGTGTATGGCGAGTAGATGCGTATCTGCTGTTGGGGCGACTAGAGCTCCAGAATGCTCACTATTCACACATATAACACTCTGAGTGGCCTTGACCTCAACAGAACTACAAGTCAAAATGATGATGTCAACTAAAGAGAGGCCAACGAGAATGTGCACCATGAAGTAAATAAGAATATCTGAGAATAATTTTGCACAGGAATTGCATGAGAGTTGAAATGCAAATGCTCTTATGAGGCTGTAGATACTCTCCTGTGAGTTAGGAGACAGTAGGCTTGCACACACGCCACCTGAAAAAGTCTCTGTGGAAGTAATCAGGTGAATGCTCTCACATCTGTCATTTGAAGATTATAAATGACTCTAAAGTTACAAGTTTGTTTTCAGTTCACTTGTCAAGAGGACGAGTACGTCGTTTTTGTCCCTCATTGATCGAAACACTTTCCCATACTTCTAAGCAAAGCATTAATTCATTCACAGAAAACTGCAATCGTTATGTTCGGGTGTAGCAGATTGTTGATTCAATTTACCAAGGGGAGCCTACAAGCGGAGAAGATGCTCCTGTGTAAATACTTCGGTTCTTTCCTTTGAACATTCTAGAAGGCTTCAGAAGCCTCGCTTCCGTCTAGTAGGTTGAAGTTATGTACTGAAAGGCTTAAAAATGTGACTAGTAAACCACTCCGTCTTCTCCTTCTGTGACTTTTTATCAGTTTTACCTGTACCATTCCTTAGTAACAACATTCAGCTCAAAGTTCTCGCATCAGCTGTATTCTAAACAAAAAACAAGGCAGAATTCAAGCCTACACACACAGCGGAATTTGTAATAAAATACCTCTCTACGAATACTTTGCTCAGTCAACTGGTTAAATCAACTAAAGCATTGAGGCACGAGTTAGTTAGCCCACAATCACGGGCGAAAAAGAACAGTTGGCTTAGCCTTAATTGCCTCCCTCCACCAAAAGATCGGCAAGCGGCAGAAATCCTATTCTTGAAAAAAACTGGGAAGAAAACTTCTCCAACTAGTGAGCAAACTAAGTGAATTTATTTCATTACCTTGCGGTCAATTAAATGCAATACGTATGTTGCTTTAAAAGCACTGATTGCTTAAGAAATTGGATTTTAGAGGGTAGCATTCCAAACTGGTACATAACATTAGCTTTTCCATGTGATGTTATATCCCAATTAATAGTTTAAGAAATTTGGTAATTGCAAATTATTTTCTCATTTGGCAGCGCTTCCTTTTCAACACCTGAAGTGCTAAATTCTCTCTCCTTCGAATAAGTTGTGCTTCTTTTCATTTAATCAGCAGATAAAATTTATAAGTTGTTAAATTTTGTTTTTGTAAAACTTACACATGCTGAAGAAATGCCACCCTCATCGGAAAGGATTTTATAAGAGGTGTGAAGCATGTGCCCTTTTCCCTGTAAAGCACCTCACAAGTAGTGTCTGTTACGTTCCTTCTCTCCACTTTGCTGACCTTAGCACTCTCCGCAAATGGAGACATGTACACGGTTTTGCGGGTGACTCACATTTTTATAACGGCACTACCACCATTGCATTCGGAGAGGACTACGCTACGCTATTGCAATCCTGTTAGACACATTTGCTTATAAAATTCCACTGACTTGTTCGTAACCTGTTCCTTATAAATGCTTTATCTTTGCTTACCCTTTGGCAATGAAATCTTGCTGATTAAATTAAGCTCTTCGGTGCAAAGTAATTAAATGATCTATTAAAGAGAGGAAGTACGATCCATTGCTGTTTCGTGATGGTAGGTTTCTATGATGAGCACATAATCACAGCACTAATTATGAGAGCAGTAGGGGTTTGTAACTAGCTGTTTCAATATGCCATTCAATATGACATTTCTCTTTCTGCTTAATATTTGTATAAGGAGCAGAAAGATGAATGAAAAGACTTCAGATTTGATGCCTTCAATGCATTGGTCTGGAACGCATCTAGAAGTACGATGCTGTAGTACACGAGCGCCCCCATCTCTCATGTAATTTTGTTCATTTATCTAATGACTCTTAGACATAAAAAGGGTGTTGGCACTTGTAAAGTGCATCATACTGCCGATTCAGCAATCCACTTTACGTCGTCATAAGTGAGAGCAAAGAAATTGAAGTAATCTTTGCAATAGTTGATTTTAAGCCATTCGCTTTGAGGACTGACTGTTTTGACTCGAGCACTTTATATCACTCTAAGCCTTTAATTTTTACAATGTATAATTTGCAAGTTCTTAAAATTAATCCTCAAATTCAATCGGTTAATTGGCAGATCAACCTCACTGTCACCTTCTTACTGGTAGCAGGCGGAGGCTACTTCCTTTGTGCTATTAAAAAGACCCTACCTCCAAGTCCTAGAAAACATGAAAAGATTAAGATAGCGAATCCTCTCTTAAGGAGTAAACGTTGAAGCCGACAAATGATGTTTGGAATGGGTTTCTACTTGTTTAGGAATAAAACACGACATTTACCTCCAAAAAGTATTGTCTTGTTGCACACTTCACATTCATCCTTAGCTCAACGATATACAACGTAGTAGAAGACACCAGTAATCCTTTTTCTAGTTCCGCCACTAAGAACACATACCTTTAGCGGAACTCGATACTTGGAAGCGCTAATCATACCCACAGTGGATAGAATTACGGGTAGACAGCACTTTTCCTACTGGGAATTTGTGGCAGTTCCTTAGAGTCTCCACAGACACTTTTAGTGGACTAAACACCAGGATCACCAGAAAACCCGATCAAGCATAGGAGGTCCTCTGCAGTAGCTGTTTGTGAATGCTTGCTTAAGTAGGCGCATATCCCTCCAAGCAGAACGAAATTCTGGCAATGCCTATGCTCTTTTCAAACTATTCTCTCATATTGGCATGCACTCAAAGCTGAAGCAAAACACAATTTCCCTGGCACTTTATATGTTCACTTTCTTTTACCTCATCCTAGACTTGAGTGGCAATATCGTTTTATGATTGCCAATAAATCAGAGCTAGAAATGCACCCATCGAAAAGTTCTGCAGAATTCTCAAACCCCAATATATTTGGGATAAATGCTAGTGGCATAAATGCCAGCAGCAAATTGACAATTAAATTATTCGATCCTGCATTCTTCCCCTCTGATTCTTTTCTTTTCTTTGGTAGTGAAATAAAAATTCGAATCACAAAGAAGTGTACAAAACTGACAAGAAAAAAGCATGGTGATAATATGTTTCTTGAGTGAATATTCGTTTTAATTCTCATTTGGCTAACAAGTCAATTAAGTGTTTGTCTTATTGCTTCCGTTGGACAGCACAATCTTTGAGCAGCACCATTATAGCCTCATCTTTGCACCACTTATACGCTACATGCTCTGTTCTTTTATTACGCCTCATTGCATGTTTATGGAAATTTTGGAGAGCTGTAGAATACTTTTTGTTCGAAAATATTGTCTGTCCTATTTACTAATACTGCTCTGCCATTGCTTTTACACTTACCAACGCAGACGCATCCGTGTCAAGATGAGGCGTTTTATTCTTGGATATCATGCTCGAGGCTCACTACCTCTTTGGTGGTAACTTTCGTATACTCTGAGCTAAACAAGAACAGCTCAATCCATTTTCTATCACCATTAAGACCTAAGGTGCCAAAAACACAGTGACACTAAGAATACTGTGTTCTGACAAAATAGCTTTTTAAAAAACGGCATAATTAGGCATTTTGACAAGTAATTTTGCTTTTATTTGCGATGTCTTCCAGGCTAAAATAGACCCCGACGTCCCATTTCATCAATTCTTATTTGACAGCTGCATGCTAATTGTTCACTCGACTACAAATCTACATTAATAATGTAAAAGGTTTATAGTGTAGAATTTGAATTCACTTTTGCTGTTGAGTGATGGCTAGAGGGTATTTGGTGGCGGTAAGCATAAGCAGCTGCTAGTCTATCAAAAAAAGCTTGAAACGTTTGGCATTTTGCTTCTGTAAAAGCAACTGTAGGTACCCGTACAGTCAAACACAATTCAACTAGCTGCAGAACTACGCCGAATATTTTGTGGATAATTATTAAACTCTTACCTTAATAATAACATTTACCGTTAACCAGACTAAGAAGTGGCAGTCAAATGTACATCGTTTAATGAACAAATGCAGAGACACGTTTAATGTAGAGCAAGCACAGTGGCATGTATCAGAATAGTACACATCGAGGAAAGTTCTCGGTCAGGTCAAGTTTGTTGGGAAATCCGGTTTTAACTTAATTGGATTAGTTTAACAGATTCGAATGCTTGAATACCACATCCATAGTGTATCGGTGCATGTATCTCTTTAGCGTACAACATGTAGAGTCATGTAAAGTACACTGCAAAGGATGGAGATGCATTACTCTAGTCGTATTTTCGAATTTCCCTTAGCTAACTTCGTTAATGTATATGTATATAGTGTTTGCACCCAATTTGACCTGATTTTAGTGCCAAATTAACCGTAGAACATTTTTATTGTAATGATCTTGATTTGAATGGGATGTCAAACCAGATAAATTTTTATCGCCTCTGTTTCTGGCACCATCCTTGAAGCACCACTCTTCAATCAATTCAATTGGATTGACCACTCTCTAGCATTTTTATTTGATGGCACGGAAGTTGTCTAAGGAACCACGCAACTTGTAGCTTCTCCAGTGGAGATGCTGGCTGTCAAATTAGTGTCAGAGGACATCAAGCACAAATTTGGATCTCATAGTCTACAGAGTGCGTTTAATTGCTGCCCTTTTTGGACAGGAAAAGAGCAGAGCCTTAAAGTTCATTAAAACGGTGAGTACGCCATATTGCACACTTTATTTAGTTCTGCTTGTACATAAATGCCTCAGGCGATGGTGGACATACAAAACACTCGTTTCAATAATAGTACTATACATCTCCATCTGCCGTTTGACTAAGTCATTTAGCCATATAATTTTGCACGAATTTAATTGAAAAATTTTGCCATCTTTTCGGGTTTAATGAAAAATCATTTCAAATGGCATAGAATATTTTACAAAATAACAAGTCGTGTAATTTACTTTTATTGACACATTTATAAAAAAAACAAGTTAAGAGGTTGACAAAATCAAAAGCATCGCAGAGACCTTTGTTCCTTCTGAGCACCCCATTAGTTGACCTCCTGCACCATTCCCGCATATGGTTGTTTGATTTAGAAAAAAATAGTACACTTGTATTTGTAAAAGTGTTTTAAAATAAAAATTTAGTTTAGAGTATTGTAACATTGTCTGAACAGGGCCAAAACCAGACAGCTGGCTGCTTACCCATTCTGCTCACCTCAGCAGCAACGTGTTTTTGTGACTGTCACAGTTGCCTGCCACTACAAAATGCGGTGAACCACGCTTCCCATCCTCAGTAAGTCACACCGTCAATTTACATAAAGGTGACTCATTAACTTTATGATTTCGTCATCAATGGAGAACCAAGGAAAGCGCATTTACAACTAGCAAGTTGTAAATAAGTTGAGCATTTTGTGGACTAGAGTCAAGCAGCGTAGTCCTTTCAGACATGGTCCTTCCTAGTGCAAACGAAAGCAAATGTTACCCACAAAACAGCGTCTTAGTCTCCTTTCAGGGGGAGGAATTACTTCAGTAGAGTGGGAGTGCCCCATTCAAATAAGTGAAATGTTGCAGGAAAGGGATGGTAGATGTAGAGAAAGAGTGTGGAACACTTTCCACTTCGATGCATATTTTTTACTGATTAATTTTCTTGAGATTACTTCTGCCCCTCCATTTACAGTAGACTCAAAAGCGCTACATTTGAATGACTGCGAGGCAACCAAATAACTTCGCGCATTTCATTGCCCAAATGAGCGTCTTCCTCACCCTTAAAAAATGAGGAAATTTTTGCCACTTGTAACCTTTGACTGAAAGCAGACCATGAGGACTTGCTCACCGGCTCTATTTTATAAGTGATGTTATAATGAGAAAATAAGGTAACATTAGCCTCTTTAAGAAGCATCATGAGAGGAATGGGTAGGACGTTGAAGCAGAAGAATTTCCTTCCCATTCACAATAGAGGACAAATCTACAAATGGACGAGTTTCGCGACATAAAATCAAGGGTAAATTACTTACATGTAACTGACTCACCTCAAAAGTGTACGAATGTACTTAGAGGAGAATCCTGGGTGACCAGAATGACCAATATTGGGTAAATGACAAAAAGAATGGTGGATATTTTAGATGGGATGAAGACTCGCAGAACTGACAGGGAGATAGATCCTGACATAGAGCTTTAGGCTGAATAGACGGATAATGTATATAAGAATCGGAATAGGATGTGCGGACAGACCGGAAAAGTGGCTAAATGACTTTGTTATGAGTGCAATCAGGAATGGACAGGTCAAGAGTCAATGTATTCAGAATAGAAAGCTGAATAGATCAAAGATGTGCTGAGCTATTAGGATGGTGCCATGCTATACCAGACTGAAAAAATCAGTCTGAGTAAATGTGAATAGCTCTAGGGTAGATTGCAAATTATTAAAGTAACGAATGGCCTTAGACATATAGGTAGGTGAAGCAGGACAAAAGAGGTAGACATGCAGGCAAATGGCTGAGCAAACACTTTAATGCACCACAGTTAATATGGTTTAATTTTTACCCTCCAAATGTTTTTGGTTACAGGTACCTCTGAAAGCAATGTTCCAGAGCACAATTCTTTGACATTTAGGTATCATCAAGAAACAGGTAATTATGTCTGCCATTTAAAAGATATGCACTTTCTTATAGGGAGTTTTTGAATATACCCCCCAGATCTTAGACTCCTGCCGTAAACGTACAGGTTGCCATTCCTCTTAGCAATGCATCCTAATCACTGTGTTGGAAAGCATATCTTCTGAAAGGAATATTATTTTCTCCTTTTACCTGTATAAGTGCACCACTATACGCCAGGCCTAAAATCATAAATCAAGATATTATGTGTCAGTGGTGCATGACGAGCCTTGCCGTGGAGGTGAAGGATGAACACCCAAGCCCCTTCTGACGGATCGAACAAGGTTTCTCATCGGTTTAGACTCATTGCCAAATGTAGGTTCCACAGAGGGAAGATATCTTCCATGGTTGGTTAACTGAGTAGAGATTAACAGCAGAGTTTACAATCCCCTTGTCTAGCCCTATTTGACTTTAAAACTCATCGTTTTTGCTTAAACTACATGATTTTGATCACGGTTTGATGATGTAAAGCCCATCTCTGCAATGCTTTACTCAGCCTAATCTTGCGTCAAAAAGCGACTGATGTAAAATGTGCTCTATATCGAAATACATATAGTTTTATTGCTACCTTCCAACTAGATCTTTCTGCGTAAGGTTCACCTTTCAGTACGCTCGATATCCAGAGGCTACAATGGGATGTGGAGCATGTACCATCCATCATAGTTACCATTCCTGTGGTCAATTGCAGCTGAAGCAAGGACTCGTAATGTCCAAATCAAAGGAGTAACCACTGAAAACCCAATGATGGTAGTCAATAGGAGAGTGATTATTTACTGACTTTGATGTACACTTAGGTGGCATGTCTCGTCAGGCTGT